ATATACTTTCCCTTCCATCTTTGATGGTACGGGCAAGGTAATCATTGATAACCTTGTCGATGAATGTGATTTACTATGAAATTTATGTAATAAAGGTTACAAACTCTCTGAAATAACTAATTCCTAATTTCCGAGTTACTGTTTTTCTCACGAAATTCGATAGAGGGCGTTCTCAAAGTACCCGGATGACAGTTCGTTCAACATTCGTGGTGGGGTTGAAATTTGAGCGGCGTCTGCTGTAAGCAATATACTCAACGCCAGTGGATTTGAATGCGTCGTCGGGAACCTGAGTAGACGCCAAACTATATTCCTGGGTTTGTTCACGGCATTTTCCATCCTGCACCGGTATTTTTTTAGTTCAATAACTGGAGACAGCCGTCTTTCAATCGCAGTTATACATCGATTGAGAAAAGAAAGCCTCTGTCAGCTTCCTGAGACGAGCGCAAACGAAAACATTGAGCCGGATTTGAGGGACAATTCGCTCGTTGCCGATTCCTACATCGATCTTCTTGTTCAGAATCCTTATGATGGCATTTGTTTCGAAGTTGAAGTTAAAATAACTACGGAAGGAAAAAACGTGTGTCCATTTATGATAACTGCATCTGCTGATCACCTGGTGAATCATATTAAATCAAACTCACAATACACAGTTACAAACACCAGGATTTTCCTTCATGGATCATTGCCGAATACACTCTGCCATAATGAAATGAAATTCTGTATTCTGCACATGATGAAGCTTTACGGAAAGTAAATAACCATTATCAAGTCGATATTCTTTCAGTCTGGCTGTTGTTCAGTCACTTCGATGCAACAAATATGCGAACATATCAGCTATTTCAAACAAAGGCAAAGTATGGAGGTTTTTTTGCCAAGTTTTTACGTTACACAGATCTACCAGAGTTATCGTCGACTCAGTGTGTTTTACAGTACGATGACGATTGTTTGACTCTTGGCGAACATTTAACTCGTTTGCTAACTCAACAAGTTCAAAAAGTTTAGCTTTACGAACATTGCTGCAAGTTATACCACGATCCTGAAGAAATTTGCGGAGTTCTGGAACTTTTTTGCTTTTCCAATCTATTGATTTACGCATGTAAGAATACAGAACTTCAATAAAAACAACCCCACTCAGGCTCGTCATCCGGGTATTTTGGATGCGCCCTCTAGCGGAATTCCGTAGAAAACTAACAACTCGAAAATTAGGAATTAGTTCTGGGGTGGAAGCAGGGGTATTTGTTGTTGTTGTTGGAGGGGGGTGTTCACTGGACTATTAAGTTTAGTAGTGATGTGTGGTCTAATATAGCATAGCGCCCTTATAAACCAACATGAATATGCTGTGAAGAGAATACAAGACAGAGGCTATAAATTTTAAAAATAAAATGGCCATAATTCAACTACTTTGAACTGGTTCATCAAATGAATGTACATACTGTAAAATGCCTAATTTTCACTGGGTTTAAATTTCACTGATTTACCATTTCAGGCATATTCAGTGGGTTTTAAATTCACTGTTTCGTCATTTAGATAATGTGTTCTATGCTAAATTTTACATGTTCACTGTGTTTTAATTTAGCGCATTTTTCCAGTCAGCGAAATAAGCTAAATTAAAACCCAGTGAATAATTAACCCCTTTACAGTACATGTAACATGATGTGTGATGTACATGTATGTGTGAAATTTGAACATGATTGAATATAGATGCAGAGGTAAATCTGTTCAAATTTTTGAACAATGAAGTCGTAAGTAATTATTTATGAAACTAATTAATCTTCTTGTTCCCCAATTAATATTAAATGTACATTATCAACCTCACAGTTCCTTATAGAATATGACATATATTGTATGCAACAATTATATACCAAAGCAAATTTCAGCAGGATAATGATCTCACAATTTTGGTGAAAAATATCTGTCAAAGCTTGCTGAGAAAAATGTATTTTTATTAAGAAAGAAAACTAGACTGATTGTTGAGTTTATCACACTGGTGAATATTTGACTCCATGGAGGGAATACTTGTATAATATTATTTATGTTCTATCTTAATCCCAAATTTAGAATTAATACCATCAATCTCATGGTCACTTAAAGAATATGACATACACAAATTTTGTTAAAAACCAATTAACAAATAAATTACCTTTGTCACCCTTTGGACCAGATCCACCAGGAATACCATCAACTCCAGCGGGACCTCTGTCTCCTTGTTGTCCTGGACTTCCTGGAAAACCTGGATTTCCTGGTGGTCCAGTAGGTCCATCATTACCTGGAGTTCCTGGTTCACCTTGATCACCCTTCGCACCATTAATTCCTGGAAGACCTAATTTATTGGAAAACATTTATTGATCTGGTGCAATACAATTCTGACAAGCTGGGCCAAAATGCTCAAAATTACTAGATATGGTTTTTATATGTGAATATTATTTATCATTTGTTATACACTTTTTAGAGGCTGTTTTTTTCAATCAGATAATGAATCATTTTAATCATCAAGCTATTATTTTCAGCCTTTTTTTATTAACTAAATTTAACCATATATAATCTATTATACAAACACATGACTGCCATTGAACAGTAACTGTGTTGGGATCTATGGGACTCTAGTGATTCATACCATATTTAGTCAACAATTGTTTCTTTGCATACAATAAGTGAATGTCTTAGTATTTTTTGTGAATAAAAAAGCCATACCTGGGATACCTGGATTCCCAGGTGGTCCTTGATCTCCTTTTGTGCGAATTGGTGCCGGTGCTGGAGATGGTTCACCTTTTTGGCCTCGCTGTCCTTGGTCACCTTTTGGACCAATTGGTCCAAGAGAACCTGGACGACCAGGTAAACCATCCGAGCCTCTGTCACCATCAGGTCCTGGAAAGCCTGGTGGACCAATTGGTCCTGGAATGCCCGGTGAACCAGGGAAACCTGGATCACCATCCTCACCTGCTGTACCTGGAACAACAGAAAAATTATTGTCAGTTGCAGAATTAAGATTGCAATTTTAATAAGATTTTGATTATTCAAAGTTTGGAAAAAATTGAACAAGCCATATATTCCCTGTTACAAATTATATAATTATTTATTATTGTTAATTTTTATGTATTATTATTTTTTGGACTATTAAATTACAACAGTTGTAATGCGTATTATAAGGCAAAGTTTCACTTTCACCTGATATCACATATACTCTAGGAAAGTTAAATAACATTCAAATTATAAAATGATGGAATCTCTTACCTGGTTCACCCATATCACCCATTTCACCTTTTGGCCCTGGAAAGCCAGGAGCCCCTTGAAATCCAGGTGTGCCAGAATTTCCCTTTGGTCCAAAAGGACCAGGTGGTCCTGTAGCTCCCGGAAATCCTCTGTCTCCTTTATTACCAATTAATCCAGGTAGACCTTGGGACCCAGGCTCACCAGCTGGTCCTGGAAATAAGAAGTTATTCAATATTTAAAATTTGATTTTATTCGCATTTGTCTTGTTTATTCAACTCTATTGACCATGACCAAGGCTGAAAAATCTAAGAAGGGTAACTTTAAAAAAAGAGCCGTCTTTAAGCAGAAATTTATTGCATAATTGGCACCCAAAAGATGTTTCAACTGCAAGACATTTGGCAGTTTTCTTTCCTGTTGTTTCACAATACTTACAAAAATGCTTTTTATACTTGGCATTGAGTAACATTGATGCACATTTATGCCCTGGGAGTTTGACACTATTTTTATCCCCAGATGTGTATACATGCATACGGACAACTTTTCCTTCTACCGTACTTATCCGGGTAAGAGCCCATGCCTGGGCAAACGCCCACCCCCCACTTTTGACACAAAGAAGTTGAGATCATATCCGGGCACATGCCCAGGGGGTCTTTTTCTGCACAAAAAATAACAAAAAACTATTTTCTATTTGTTGACTTTGGTTGTATTGACAGTTGACTTTCTTGAAGTCTGTCGTGATGCTTATAAAAATTCTTTTAATATAATTGTTAATTGCATAAAACAAGGGGTGAACGCAAAATAGCTGTAACAGCTTTCTGCCTTCAGGGCAGCGCGTTCATCGCTGATTTTTTTTCAGAATCTAACAGTCAGCAAGTCTATAAAAATATATATTAAAGCAGAAATGGTAGTTCTCTTCTGAAATATGTTGTGGCCCTAAAAAGGGCCAGCCACTTGCTTTGTGCATCCTTAGAAACGATTCAAGCAAATTGTATAAGGAGAGCCATTAAGCAAGTGTCGCACTCGTTCGGCTTTAGCGTTGTCAACAATGAAACCAATGTTGCAATATTGTAGCAACCCTAACCTGGGAGAGTGGTTGAAATCACGTTATTTTGGCTTTATAAAATATTTGGTAGCGACTTGCGAATCCATAACTGGGGCCAGTAATTTTGCAATGTCATGCTGAAGACTAACAACTTTTTTACCATCTTTCATCACCGCTATTGCATTTCTGTCATGAAAACTATTCTTCTGTCGTTGGATAAAAAAAAAAAAACTTCCTATTTCAAGTCCACCACGATATCCATATAGTGAGACATTCCAACCATTGGAACTTGCTGAGATGATAACTTTTACTGTGATTGATAAGCGTCAATCTGATATAAGAAAGCAATGTCACGATTTGACCTTTATGATGAAATACTAGTAGTGATGTCATTCTTATCCAATCAGTAAAGCAGTTGCATAAAGGTCAAAGATGATTGCCAGACTGAACAAAAGCATCGTGTGCCATCGCAGTAGAACAATCCCATTTTTCTCGTCTCTTTATTGTGATTAGACATGAATGAAAAGTGCCAAGCTGACAGACAGGAAAATCCGTAGATTAAAAGTGCCAAGTCCAAATTGTGTGGGACGATATCAACGAACTTCAGAAAGAAGTTGTAAGGATTTTGTTTGACAGCTACAGTGACGCCGACTTGGACATTTGAGAGTTTTGATTTTGACGAAGATGGCAATGAACGTACAAATAAAGATCTGAGAAGTTTTTTTCAAACAGCTATAAATTTCTATAATTTTTACAGAGTAAATTTGTAAATTATTATTGATCTTGTATGACAGTTGATTCGTAATTTGTCGAGACCGGAAATCAATTTACGCAGTTTAACCCCTGACATTTTAATTCAATATTGGGCGTGTTTGTCGGCGGGAAAATCCTAATTCAAATGATTCCTCACTGTCTATTTTTATTATTTCTGGTTTATTTGTCACATTATAAGCAATACATTAATTTTGTTTTACTTCTAATGTTGCATATTGTTCATTTATTTCCGTTGCATGTTTTCATTTGCCGTTCTATTTGCCGCAGTTCGATCGGCGTGTTGTCAATTTTCGGTTTTTTTTGCCGAGGATATCCTGGCAAACGTCCACCCCTATTTTTTAGCAATTTTCCATGTTGCTTATACCCGGATAAATACGGTAATGCAAATCCCAGAATTAAAATACTATATTTAAAACCACTATATATGTTCAGTATTACAACATATTTTTCTTTTTAATTTACCTGGCGGACCAGGGTCACCAGCATCTCCTTTATCTCCAGCTGGTGCAGGTAATCCTGGCTGTCCTGGAAATCCAGGTGGACCAGAATCTCCTTTGCCTCCATTAAATCCATCTCGACCTGGTTGACCTGGACGACCGGGAACACCATCAACGCCATCCATACCTAAAATAGGAAAACAAGTTTATTTTCATCATCAACACCGAACTTTGATGGTTCAAAAAGCATGCAACCATTCAATATACTCTGACCAATGTGATTATACCACATATCCCATCATACTATGCAATTTGGAGATGTAACATCCTGCGAATTCAAGGGCATGTTTATAAAATACAAATTTTCTACACCTTTTTTCCCTCCCCACAAGGAAAATGAGAGAAATGTTTACATTATTTTATAGAAGAAGTGTGATCTTATTATTTATCATTGTTTGTATTGCAGCCAGAAATCGACAGGTTGTGGATGTGTAGATCATGAACAAGTGCTAACTAAGTGTAGTGAGTAAATCATATCATATACTGCAGTAAAGAAGTACATTACCCTTTTCACCAGGAGCTCCATTTAAGCCAGGCTGTCCTGGTGGGCCAGATGCACCAGGAAGACCAATCGGACCAATGTCTCCCTTGAAACCTGAAGATGAAAAATAAATTAATACCCCAATTAGAAAAAAATAACCCATCGGTAAGTTCAGAGAAAATACAAACAAGTAATTACAGTAAAGACTCAAATAATTAAGTACATAGTTCTTAAGTTTGAAAAAATATAACATGAACAATCAGAGAATGTCAGAGATATGGCTCCAAAACTGCATTCACTAAAACAAAATGGCCACCAGTTGGCCATTTTGAGTCTGAGCTGACAAAGTGATATGCATTAAGATCCTATAAAGTACAATGTCTATGACATTACCAAGATCCAGATTGCAAAAATGCTTGATTTTGATGAATTTTTAATATTAAAACAACAATTTGACCATCTAAATATGCACAAGATGTATATGTATATTGGTCACCAGTTGCACATTTTGAATCAGATTGTTTGAGCGAAACATCCATACATTACAAAAATCTGGTTCCGAAATGGCTGAAATAATTGAATTGTTAAATGACTACATATATAATATGTACCAAGTTTGAATAAATCCTTCCATACATGACAGAGATCCTGCTTCAGAATGGCAGAATTGCTTTCTTTTGATGAATACTAAACATAACAAGAGTTGGCTGAGCCAACTGGGAAAAGTGTTGGCTGTAATGTATTGTGGTTGATACCACTCTCAATTTGCATAGGATTCTGTTAAAACATACATTTAGAACTCCCCATATAACAATGAGTTTCATGTTGTTGGTGAATTGGACTAATAATAAAACCTTTTCTTTTCACAGAATATGCTAAAAAATGGCATTTATTAACAGTCGCTTTTGTGTATGCTGAACATTTATGTATTTAGAAACTACATAGAGTTTTGAAACTTTTGAGGTTGTTCAACAATCAAAATGAACATATATATATATAAAATTTGAACATCAGTCAAAGCATGTCAGAGATATGGCTCTAGAAGCGCATTGAAACAAAATGGCCACCAGACGGCCATTTTGAATCCGATCAGAAAAACAAAAAGAGGTGCATCAGGGACCATAATTTCTAATGTATGTACCAAGTTTGAACGAAATCCATCCATAAACAACCGTGATGCAGTTGTGAAATGCTTGATTTTTGAAAGATTGAAAAATGATGCCTAAATTAGAGATTTTACAATATCTTGAAACTTTGCTATTAAAACTCCCATTTCATACACAGTAATAGAGCAGCTACATTCGTATTTTTCAGTGGTTGGCTATTTTCAGCCAGCAATCGAGCAGAAAGCAAGTGGAAAAGGAAAGTGTGTCAGTCAGTTCCCAGTCAGAAAATTAGCAATGAAAGCAGGGAGAATACAGCCCCTCAGAACTTCCTGCAATAAAATAATGTATTTACTGTGGGCGAAACACATACTGCATTATACGGATGGATATCATTCTCTGAAAAAACAACTCATTTTGCAGTGATAAGGCCCAATATGCTTAGAACACATGGGAAAGCAAAACATAATGGCTTAAGGTTACAAGTTTAAGAAGGTTGTCATTCCAAAGGTCCCTTTTAGTGGTTAAAAAAGTGGCCTCATTGGTACTAGAATTCCTGAGAATAACAATTCACTTTGAAGCATGCACACAGTCTTATTGCATAAGCTTAACTGTACCTGGAAGGCCAGGAGCACCATTCAATCCAGGAGTTCCAGGTGGTCCTGCAGCACCAGGTAAACCTGGATCACCCGGAGTACCACTGAGACCAGGATCTCCTTTTGGTCCCACTTCAGATGAATCACCTGGTTCACCTCGTGGACCTGTGTTACCTTTGTCACCAATTACACCTGCAAAAAGAATATTATCAGGAAAAGACCGCAATTATTAAAGACAAGTTTTATTCTATACAATATTTCAAGGACAATGAATTGTCTAAGGCATTCCAACTTATTTAGCATATGTCCTGCTTCATTCTATGAAATCACACCTTATTGGCCGATGTCCTCTGTTTCCATGACATCACATTTTATTTGGCTACATCTTGTCTATTTCCATGAAACCAAACCCTAACTTCATGCAATGCTTGACAAATTCGAGAAGAAATCGCAATCGCAAAATATAAAAACTGACCTGGAGAACCTGGAGGACCCTGACGACCAGGCAACCCATCTCTTCCTGGAAATCCTCTGTCTCCTGGTAATCCAGGTGAACCAGGTTGTCCTGCAGGCCCTATTGGACCCATATCACCTAAAAAAAATTGACATCATTAAGATTTGTTTTTTTAATTTAACAATTTTTTTACAATACATAACATTTTTAAGTTCTGAAAGGTTAAAAAGTTACAGCAGGCATTTTCCACAGTGGAACATAGTCGAAACAATGAAAATATTCTTACTGAAATCATGTTCATATTAGACCACAGCATTTTAAAACTTTGTAAAATGTGTTCTGATACTAAGTTTTGAATATAAAAAATGGTGCTGGAGAACAGATTAGATTGTGCTACAGAACAGGTCTTTGACCTATGTCAACAAATAACATGAAACGGTAAAATTTTAACACTATGAATAATTAATTGGTTTACAATTAGCCAAATTAGGGGGTAAAATGTGGAAACAATAAATACTGGGGTCTCTCAATAAATATTAAATCACCTTTACAAAAGTCTCTAAGCCATGCAACGATACAAGCAAAAATACAAGTAAACCAGATCAGACCAAAAATATATAGTACAGCATATACAAGGTAAGAATCACATTTAAGGAAAACTGTCAATGTAGATTTTTAAGACACACTTTCACCAATAACTAAAATAATCAAAGAAAACTTAGAAAGAACTCCCATGTGCTGAGAGTATTGGAGACACATTAAAAATTAATTCAAAATTACTTGAACTTGAGGTGTTGATGGAAACGCAGAAAACTAATTAATTATGCAAATAAGGTAACTAATATGAACAGATTTAAGTGTAAAACTAATAAGGTCTGCACAATGTACCAAGTTTCATTGACATGTGATTAGAACCAAACAAATATTAATTATTATGCTAATTAGAGAATTAATATGAACAGATTTTAACCCAAAATTAATCAGGCTGTCTATTGTCCGAGAGCATTTATGTACTAAGTTTTATTCAAATGTGATGATCAGTACTTGAGATATCAGTATTAATTAATTATGTTAATTAGTAGATTAAGAAGCATAAATATTTACCAAAAACTAATATGGTGTATAGTCCTAGGTTTATTGAAATGTGATGGGTACTCTTTAAAAGTTTCATTGAAATCCAATGAGTGGTTTTTAGACATCAGTGCAACAGCCACAGAACAGCAAAAAATTAACTAATTATACAAATTAGATAATTAATAGGCACAATTATTTATCCCAAAATTAATCAGGTCTCTGCATAGTCCTAGAATATCTATGTCGCAAGTCTCATTGAAATGTGATGATTAGTACTTGAAATATCAGGTGAAAAGCTGAAAATTAACTAATTATGCTAATAAGGTGATTAATATGCACAAATATTTACCCAAAGACTAATTAGGTCTCTGCACAGTCCTCAAGTAACTATGTACCAAGTTTCATTGAAACAGGATCATTACTACTCGAAATATCAAAAGCTGAAAATTAATTAATTATGCAAACTAGGTAATTAATATGTACTGATATTACCCTAAAAACTATCAGGTCTGTGCAGTGTCATATGACATCTATGTGCCAAGTTTTATTGAAATGTTATGATTAGTAGTTATGATCAGTGGAAAAGCTGAAAATTTATTAGTCATTATGTAAATTAGGTAATTAATAATATTAACAGATTTTTACCCAAAACTAATCAAATCTGCGCATTAGTTCAGAGCATCCATGTGCCAAGTTTCATTGAAATCCAATGAGTGGTTCTTCAAATATCAGTGGAACAGTTATGGAACAGCTTGAAATCAGTTAATTATCATGCAAATTAGGTAATTAATATTCATAGATTTTTACCAAAACCTAATCAACTCTGCGCTTTATCCCGGGGCATCTATGTACCAAGTTTCACCAAAATTTGATTAGTAGTTCTTGAGATAACGGTGGAACAAACAAGCAGCCTATCAGCTGAGATAGCTCCGCTGTGCAATGCACATTTCAATTAAAGAACTGAAGACATCATTAGAAAATGAACAATATATATAGTATCAAAGCAATCGAACTTACAGTTTTTAACAAGAAGTCGAAAATATCACTTTCTATCAAAAATGACCAAAATATTCACCAAAATTAGAGAATTGAAGATAGCATCACGAAATGAACAAATCTGAGAAAGGTCTACATGTAGTATCTATATGTGTAATATCAAAGCAATTGAACTTTTGGTTTTTAACAAGAAGTCGAAAATATCACTTTTTACCAAAAATGACAAAAATATTCACCAAAATTAAAGAATCGAAGATATCATCACGAAATGAACAAATCTGAGAAAGGTCTACATGTAGTATCTAAATATGTAATATCAAAGCAATTGAACTATTGGTTTTTAACAAAAAGTCGAAAATATCACTTTTTACCAAAAATTACAAAAATATTCACCGAAATTAGAGAATTAAAGATATCATTACAAAATGAACAAATCTGAGAGAGATCCACATGTAGCACCTATATATGTAATATCAAAGCAATTGCACTTGCGGTTTCTAACAAGAAGTCGAAAATATCACTTTTTACCAAAAATGACAAAAATATTCAGCAAAATTAGAGAATTGAAGATATCAACATGAAATGAACAAACCTAAGAGAGGTCTACCCAAGGTACATGTACACCAAGTATCAAAGCATTCAGGCTTGTAGTTTTCAAGAAGAAGTCGAAAAAGTAAAACATTGACACGAACGACGACGGACAATCACTCATATGATAAGCTCCGCTCGACAAAGTCGACAGCGGAGCTAAAAAGTGACATACATACATACATACATACAGACAGGGTAACTGCAAAGACTCCCTTTTGTGCTTCGCACATGGGAGTCAAAAATGGAATAAGTTGCCTGAGTTACTGCGAAAGTGTTAATTATTCACTGGGTTTTTTATCTTTGCTTATTTCGCTGACTGCAAAATGCACTAAATTAAAACCCAGTGAATATGTAAAATTGAGCATAGAACACATTATCTAAATGATAAAACCGTGAATTTAAAACCCACTGAATATGCCTGAAATGCTATGACACAAGAAATTGTTAACAATTAAGGATGACATTTGGCAGACAAATTAACCCCAATACCTTTCATTTCACAACAGGTGAGGCAAAATAGAATGTCATACTTTTAATCAGTCATTAGGTAATAAGACAAGCAGCCTGTCGGCTAAGATAGCTCTTCTGTTAGCAAGGTACATTTCAATTAAAAAACTGAAGATATCATTAGAAAATGAACATTATGTAATTCGAAAATATCACTTTTTTCCAAAAATCACAAAGATATAATCATGAAATGAACAACTCTAAGAGAGGTTTACCCAAGGTGCGTACACAACAAGTATCAAAGCATTCAGGCTTGTAGTTTTCAAAAAAGTAAAAAGTTGACACAAATGATGAACAATCACTCGTACGATAAGCTCCGCTCGACTAAGTCGACAGCAGAGCTAAAAAATATGGTATTGCAATTGGTTATTGTATCAAGGCTTTATAAATAACAGCTGGTGAACACTGGAAGATATTACATACCCTTTTCACCAACGAGACCTGGAAAACCATCTCTTCCTTGCATTCCTGGTAGACCAGGTGGTCCTCTCTCTCCATCACGACCAGGTAAACCTGGTTGACCAGGTAGTCCACGATCTCCTGGTTCACCGGGATCACCACCACCAAAGCCAGACTCACCCTGCAACAAATGGAACACAAAATCTACTCAATAATTGCACATCTATCCTGTAAACTAGGCATATTTAGTTTTCATGAATATATTTAAAATGGAAATGTGAAACTACAGTTTGTCAATCTGTAAACCCACTGTAAATGCAAAAGACAATCACATCCTCATTGACAATTATGAAGAGCCAGAGCTTTACCTTTTGTCCAGGTTGGCCAGCAGGACCATTTAAACCAGGTACTCCTGGTGTACCACTATCTCCTTTAATACCTGGATCTCCAGGAAGACCAGGGAATCCTTTAGCACCTGGTTGGCCTGGTGGTCCAAAGCCAGGAGGTCCAGAATCACCTCTATCACCAGGTGCCCCCTGAAAGCCAGGAGGACCAGTTGGACCCCGAGGACCAGGAGGACCTAAAAGTAAATATAACAAGACATGAACTCCACAGTCTTCTTAGATTGAAATCAAATACTGTAGAATACTTTTTACCAAAAATATTCACCAAAATTAGAGAATTGAAGATATCATTACAAAATAAACAAATCTGAAAGAGATCCACATGTAGTATCTATATATGTTATATCAAAGCAATACACTTGCCGTTTTTAACAAGAAGTTGAAAATATCACTTTTTACCAAAAATGACAAAAATGTTCACCAAAATTACAGAATTGAAGATATGATCATGAAATGAACAAATCTGAGAGAGGTCTACCTAAGGTACATCTACACCAAGTATCAAAGCATTCAGGCTTGTAGTTTTCAAGAAGAAGTCGAAAACGTAAAACATTGACACGAACAATCACTCATATGATAAGCTCCGCTCGACAAAGTCGACAGCAGAGCTAAAAAGTCTTTTCAGCAAAAATCAATTCCAGCTAAAATAAATTATTTTACAATAACTGATACGATATTTTATATAGCCATCTAATACAACAGCTAAAGTCAGTCTGCAATGTTTACTGAATATTTACCAACATGACTGCAATGAATATTTTCCCCTTTTTGTTTTAAATCGTAACAAAATAAAAATAGAAACTCAGGGTCAGTGGGTGCCAAAACTATTTCAGAAACATTTGTATTATATTTTTTATGTTGAAAGAGTCATTGTGTGACTGTTATTTTGGTTTAGTTTGCTGAAGAGGAAATATTTTAGATAAATTATTCACTGAAAACAATACTTGGAAAATCAGATGACAAAATATATGATTTATGAAATAATCTATTCCTGTATAGATAAAGCTGTCAACTTACCAACTCCGCCCATCAGTCCCTGCGAACCAGGAGGACCTTCAGGACCAGGAGGACCAGGTGGTCCTCGTTGACCAGGACCCCCACCAATGATTGGCTCTCCTTTTTGTCCTGAAAAAAAAAAAATACAGAGTGAAATAAAATACATTTTTGAATTTCAACAATAGCTGAACAAATTGGCAGGATAACAAACATTCATAATTAGATGAATAAAGGAAATATTGCATGTGCTGTGGCAGACTTATCATTAAACAGGACAGGACAGAATCAGTACATCCACTACTGAGATCAGATGCCGGAATGACAAAATCAATACATCCACTACTGAGATCAGATGTCGAAATGACAGAATCAGTACATCCACTACTGAGATCAGATGCTGGAATGACAGAATCAATACATCCCCTACTGAGATCAGATGCCAGAATGACAAAATCAATACATCCACTACTGAGATCAGATGCCGAAATGACAGAATCAATACATCCACTACTGAGATCAGATGCCGGAATGACAGAATCAATACATCCACTACTGAGATCAGATGCCGGAATGACAGAATCAATACATCCACTACTGAGATCAGATGCCGGAATGACAGAATCAATACATCCACTACTGAGATCAGATGCCGGAATGACAGAATCAATACATCCACTACTGAGATCAGATGCCGGAATGACAGAATCAATACATCCACTACTGAGATCAGATGCCGAAATGACAAAATAAATACATCCACTACTGCGGAGTCATGATAAAACACTTTTGGTAAAACATATCCCTTACTGTAAAAGTTACCTTTTAGACCAAAAGGTCCTCTAGGTCCCGATGGACCAGGTTCACCCTTTGGACCAGTTCGACCCGGCTGTCCAGTGGTTGGTTCTCCTTTGTCACCTTTTTCCCCTGGCCGTCCCTAAATTTGTAATCAAGGTAAATTCAATAACATTAGGATTACAACAAATACAGTAATTAGGAAGGCTCAATAGGTGTGCAAAGAAAAAATTCAATAATATATTCAATAAGTCATATTAAATATTTTAAAGTTTCATATTTTCAAATGTGAAGACTTACTATTGTCACCGGTGGAGAAGGTAAACCTGGTGGACCGGGCAAACCTGCTGGGCCTGTATCTCCTTTTGCACCTGATGGCCCAATAGGACCAGATGGGCCTGCTCCACCTGGTAATATGGGTCCAGCTTCTCCTTTGCTACCATCTCTACCCGGTAAACCTGGTTGACCTGGACGACCCTGCAGACAAAAATTTGTCAATATGAAAAATATGCAATTTTGATACAGTGTTAACAGTGACATAAATAAAGTAACATGTAATAGGTTTATGCAAATTAAATACAATATATATAGCTACATGCATAAATAATTTGCAGTGTATCAGTTTAGGAAATTTCAAAAGTATCACTACTTGCATATTATTTAAACTTTTTTGTGATTTTGAACCAAAAGTTAATAGGTTTTAGTTTTTGTTACAAAAATGGCCACAAATTATGCAGTTGTACATGTCTCAGCGTGT